TTCTTTAATTTGCTGGCATCTTTCTTTGGTGTCAGGGGGTAATGTTGGAGGTATTTTGCATTTTGTACAGGAATATTCTCGTGGATAAACCTAATGACCAGTCATCACGTTGGTCCTCAGACAGTAACTCTCCACCTCAGGTGCAATTTTATTACATTTAAACTACTATTTCCGTCCTCTAAATACTCCCTTCATTGCTAACAAAACTTCAAGACTTTTAAGTGTTAGATATGCAGAGAAACAAAGAGTGCACCCAACATGCTAAGCATAACAATATTTTAGAGCACCATCCGCCTGGACTAAAAACAATTATAAAGATGTCGTAACATTCTTTTAGGCTGCATGTGTGTACATGTTCATGGATTGGCCTGTGGTGAAAGAGAAAATTGCTGATTATGAGGAATAGTTCATGGTCCTTGTTTAATGTTACTGTAATGGAAGCCAAATATTTTCTCACCTGGTCCCCCTAGTATTCTTTGAGGGTTAGATTTCCACTAGTCTCCCTCACAGCCGTTTTTGTCATGTACACTACCCTCCTCCCCAACAAATGGCCACTTACATTTAAACCTCAATCCCCTCCCGATTTGAGCCAATCACAGCGATGGTTCTATTTTTCTGGAACGGTTTTGCGCCAGATAATCTTTTTACATGCCTTCCAATCATAGTCTGCATTCTATTGTATCATGTTTGGTGCCAAGTTGTCTCCCAGAAAGCCATTTTTATATTTGTCTCATTACGTACATTACTTTTTGTTTTGAATAAAACAGACTCGAAATTGCTGCAATTTGACTACTTATCCAGTGTAAGAATTGAAACTGACGTCCACTTTAAGCAGTGTTTGTGTTTTTTGCCGTTCCAATGATTTTTTAGAAATGCTTATGCACATACGTGTGCTTTATCTGACCTTACCTGGTCTGTATCTACATGTGACGTATTGCAAATGTGTTCTATTGCAATTGAATAAGTGTGAATAAATGAACTTGAACTTGAACTTGTGACACCACATGATGGCCAATGCTGATAATCTGATAACAAATTAGCTGTTTCTTGCCAAAAAAAATTTTCCTCAATGGGAAATTTACTGATCCAGCTATATATATTTTAAAGTCGCCCATTTTAGGGCCAAATGTGTTTTTTAGTTTTTGCCTGCAGAAACCCTCAGTCTTTGATTCAGTTTTTATAAAAGCAAAACAGAACCCAGCCCGTCACGGCTGACACCTCAGATGCAACCGGAAATCACAGTGACTCGTTCTTTGCATTCAGTTTACTGATAAATGATTGGTCGTTTCTGTGGGTTAACAAATAAAACAATAGTAATTATTGGAAAGGAATTTGGTTTGAATGTGAGCTGCCGTTAGTTGGGGAGGAGCATTACGTGACGGCACAAAACGGCTGCGTGGGAGACTAGATTTCCACACACTCCACAGCCCGATATACGTATTAATAAATATGCATAGATGTTTGACTCTATTCATATAAGCAAGCTGTTTTTGAGGTGCGGAAATCTTACTGTCTTTAAGCATGTTATTCAAATTTCAGTTTGTCTTTCACATATTAATAAGGTTTTGTTATTTTGTTCAGTTTCTGATACTTAAGCTGGATAAACCAGCAGTTGTGATGACTGTAACATTCGGCAAGTATGAGAAGACCCATGTCTGCAATCTCAGAAAATTCAAGATTTATGGTGGATTAAATGATGATCACATGACTGAGTTGTTACATAGGTACTGTATACACTTAGTATTACTTAAGTTAACTGTTTTTTTCCAAGACTGCTCAAAATCCACTTTAAAATGTTTTGTTTTTGAAATTCAAAAATTTCCTTTGGAGTTTTGTATACACAATAATTGTTGTACAATGTACAATGGTTAAGTGTGGACCAGACAGTAGGAAACTACAACATGCATTCTTTAACATTTTGATTTCCTACAAACAATCCGCGTATAATGAAAGAAGTCTCCGATAGCCCAAGACTAGTGTATTTTGTTACCAGGCTAGTAAATTCTCTTTTAAGTTGCCTGACAGGCAAGTGAAGTTTTTTTAGGTGAATTTTTTGGGGGGAATTCAAATTAATTTCAGAAGAACTGTAATCAATCCTCCTCATCAAAACAGTTTTCAGGCTAGTTGAAATTACTTTTGGGCTAGTACATGCTAGCTACAGCTTTGCCTAAATGAGTAGCTATAAAGCTGACTTTCTTTGCACACTGAAATTGTGGCCAACATTTCACAAGGCTCAAGAAATATACCAAACTTCATGCAACCTAGCTGTACAACAGATTTGTTTGATATGTTTCACAGCATGCCATGAAAATGTCAAATTGTACAGGAACACCGTTTTTTGCCAAGAATTGGCAGGTGCTCTCAAACTACGTTTACACTGGTTATTGTTAGAGAGAATCTGACACTTGCATGTACTCCTGTGTATGAGATGTGAAACATCATTGAATAGGGGTTCCTTTTAAAGCGAATCCTTGAGAGAAATTTCTTGAAAAATAATGCATTCTAATAAAATTTGTCATTTGCAGTGGGCTCAGAAATGATCATATAAAGGAGACATTTAATCTGAAGCATGAATTGGATGGAAAAATGTTTCCATGTAATTATATTAAAATTGGTAAGTATTGGTGAAAGAAATGAACATGTATGTTCTGCAAAAGCAGTGCACGCATGTATATGAGAAGCATCTGTCCTCAGTTGTTCAAAACTTGGATAACACTATCCACTGGATAAAATGTCTGTCCAGTGGATAATGCAATTGCCTTCTCAAATACGTACCCACTGAATAGTGTTTTTTCTAGTGGATGCCATTATCCAACATTTGAGAAACTGATGCCCAAGGTTAATATTATTTAAATACCTAGTTGTTTATGGAGGAAGTGCGGTTAGTCCTATTTTGCTTTCAAGCTCTCCTCTTAAATTGCCACAACCTGTTTGTCAATCTGTTTGGAATCCCTGCATGTCACTGACAGAAAGAAAATCATTCTCAAAATTTTGATTGGCTTTAAGGAGTTGAACTCCAGTCTGCCAAGAAGTAAAGATGAGGTATGTAACTGCCAGTGGTGAAAGAAGCTAGACTTAAGACCTGTGTACTGTGTATCTGTTACAGGTCAAAAGTAAATTCAGGTTAAAATTTTTTAGCCTAGGTTGATTCTCAATTTCATTTGTCTCATATCCCCAACTATTCATGAATCAGGGCTAGGAGACAAAGGAAAAAGAGAATCAACCTAGGATAAAAAATTTTAACCTGAACTTAATTTTGACTTGTAATATATCCAACACTCTCTTGGCCACATTGCCCCCATATAATGCAGTTGATAATTTATAAGAAAAGTAGAAAAGGCAATACTTACTTATTGTTTTACTTCTTTTTGGCAACATTTTCATTTTTATTATCTGGTGCTTCACAATGCTATTGTGATTTACTGGTATGGACATTAAGTGTGCAACACTTAGTTCATTTTAGTTTTTCAATGTTTGGCATTGCCAGGCTCACCTGTGGTACATTATAAAATAACTAAGATAGTACGCGCGCTCTGATTGGCCGAGAGCAGTGTTTGCATGAGAGTATGTAAACATGGTTGTGGCGTCAAGTTGTTTGGCTTTTCGCGCGCTAATCACGCAAGCACCAAATTTGAAAAAGTTTTCGAGTTCAAAACTCGACAAGTTTACTTTATTTACCCATTCCTTCGTCGGCTGAAACATGGAAAATCGTTACAAAGAAGGTGAGTCAATTTTTCTTCGCTTAAGCTGACATTTTAAGCGAGAAAACTCCGTATTTTGCAAAGCATCTTTTTGCAAAACAAGAACTCATTACGCGTGCAAGACTTCGTGGACAAGATTTTGCGACTGGTAAGAATTTCTCTTTTAATCAGTGCCATACAAAGAGTTTTGCGTTTTTTTCTAGGGAA